AACTTTAAATTAAACGAACAAGAGATAATAAACCCTTTACACTGTCTACAAATTACAAGTCAAACGTACACAAAACGTAACGTAAACGTAAACAACAAAACAAATGAAAACTTTTAGAGAGCGAGATGTGGCCGCTATAGCGGGAAGCTTGTTAAAAGTTTGAAGTAATTCTGTAACTAACATTTTTGTATTCACGTGGACATGACATTTTTAATTTTTCAATTTATATTTTCGAAAATTGAAAATCGTAACTAATATTATAGTTACAAAAGCCGAGAGTTTACTAACTGTTTTGACAATTGGTTTCAGCAGTTTTTAAAAAGAGGTGTTAAATAAAATGTCAAAGAAATTGATACACTATGGTGTTAGGTTTTATAGTTCACAATAGAGCGTCAAAAGCAGTACATAAAAAATTACATGGAATTTTCGCATGGAAGAAAACAATAATATTGACGACCTCGGCAACTCAACGATTTGCACGGTTGGCGCTAGATGAGGCAGTCCCGGTTCCGATTTTCGGTAGGATAAATTGGGGTTATGAACTTTTCTTAATTGATTCAGGTCTTAATTATCGAAGTAACGATCACTTCGAACCCTATATTTTAGACTATCTTATATAAGCGTTTGTGAAAATAAATGGTTATCGTAATAATGTTGTCAAATTGGTTGGTGGTTACTATGCCTATGACGATATGCACTCAAAATGTATTACTATGTTGTTTTGAAATCTGAACCAACTCTCATTGTCACTTTTCGTTACGTATATATATATACGTATGTATATAGAACATAATAATAATATTATTATATAATTGCAAGACTTGCGAGACTCTTGCAGGAAGACCGAGACCAAGACCAGGTGTACTGACCAAGATCTAGACAGAATTTTGCTTTAAAAGAGGCTGCCGAAGGTTCACTGCGAAATTCGATAATTTCGATAACGAGTACATAGTTAACCTGAAATTTGGAATGAATACTTATCAAAGTAAACAACAAAATGCAATATTTTCGATTTTCAAAACTACACCACAACATATGACGCAACACGATTTTAAGTTTCGATGGAATTTTTTTGCACTCAAGTATAAGTCTGAAACTTGGTATGTATGCATTTTAAAACAAAAATTGAATATACCCATCATCATAACATACAGCTCAATTTCTTCTCCCTTAGTTTGTGTCATCCACCACGATCCTGCGCTAGTCGCACTCATCTCCGGCCCGCGAGTTCGCCGATGTCGTCAAAGTTATTATGGAACTAATAAATTAACATCGCAACCCATTACGAAGAGCATCCACGAAATAGAATAATCATGTTCCCTGGTTCTGACAACCCAAAAATTGGTCCCAATACTTTCAAGAAAATAATGAAGCGCGTATTAATTATGTATAAAAAATTAACCCTGAAAACCCGTAACATTTCATTTCTAACGTATTTCGTAACTTTTGAGAAAAAAGTGATTTATTGAATTTACGAAGTAGTTTGCAAACGGCCCAAAATATTTATAAATAAAGGAGTAGGGTCCGGAGCAATTCACTGGTAAATGGCGGACAGAAAAAAGTAGGGTCTTAGAAACATGAAAACTTGACATGTTACTGTTTTTTAGTATAGGCGTACTACGAACGGATTTTTCGAAATCCAACCCCTACGAGGGTGAAACTAAAATTGTTTGTATGAAATCATATTCCTTGAATATACAAAGATGAAACTGCATAAAATTTACATGACGTTTTTTTCAAAACTACTCCCAAATGGGTATTAAAATTTATATGGGTACTTTTTAACGCATGGCGGAATTTGCTTCAAACTTAGTTTGGATACTTTAAATATAAAATAATTACACACGAGTTTTAGGGTTTTTCAAAACAAACCCCAAAAAGGGGTAAGTCAGGGTTTGGAAGTATTTTGAAAACACCTTTTCTATAGAAAATCGTACTCCTTACATATGCAAACTTGAAAGTTGGTATATTAACGAAAATAAATAACGAAATGTGATTTTCGATTTAATGGCCCTGGATACTGTGCGAAAGTCCTGTTCCTTAAGTCCATTATGTGCATCAATGTAAGTCAGTTATTAACGTGATCGAAAATAGGACAAGAATAACTCTATACTAAAACAGCACTTTTCTATAATGCGGCTCATAAAGATTTACTGATGAAGGTCACTAACAAAAGATTATAAACAGTCGGCTACATGTCAAATCGCAATCTCTTCTAAAATTTGTGTAGTATTTTAAAGTGTTTAACCGAATGAATAACTCAAGTAGTGTAAAGAAGTATAACAAAAATAATTTTATTATTATTATTATTGCAATACTTCTTTTCTTTCTCTTTTTTCTAAATTGGGAATCGCTTCCTTTAAACATAACGTTCGTCGGCTCAATTTGAAATCCACGGAACTCCGTTTTTGGACGAATTCCAAGTTAGAAAATAAAGGCATAATAAAAGATTGTCTTATAATTACTTCTAGTCATTCTGTTACTACAAGTAATTATTATACGAGTATATATTATGTCTACTCAAAAGTTCACATAAATGGATAAAATGGTTAATTTAATTAGTTTATTTTGCTTTATTTGTATTTGTTAGTATATTTTTGTCTTATACCGATCGTTGTTACGTCTGCATAGAGGTAGGAGAGAGAAAGCCAGGTGCTCTATAACACAGATTAATTCTAGCATGGACACCAGAGTTACACCAAACGAAACTATCTTCAATAACATGTTAAGAAATTTTCATGGAGGTACGAGGTTTACGAATTTAGCCGATACGTTGTAACACTCGAGTCGATAATATAAGTCACTGTATGAAGTTCTCGAAGAATCTATGTAGACGCATCTAACAATCATGAGTAATTTTATTATTAAAATAAATCAAGCCACTGGCGCGGCTCTCCTCTCAAACGACTTGCATTAAGAGGTGTTTTCCTGTCACGGATTTGCTCCACACACGTCAATCTTCGGTGCACTGTGTGTCAATGGTACTGGGTTACACTAAAGACGTTTCCAATACACCCGCGTAGAATCTCAACTCCTACGTACCAAGAAAATCTTATTTTTCTTATAATAATATAAACATATATATAAATAGATACGGACATCGCGCGTGATATATTATAATAACTTTAAATTAACTCGCATAATAAACCTTTAAGCACTCCGTGACTTGAACTTTGACTAATTGCAAACGAACTGTAGCTTCGAGAGCTATTTCGTATACCTAATAGTTAAACGAGAACAAGTTAAAACTCAGAAAATTGTTTCAAATAAACACAATATTGATGAAAATTGTTTCAAGATTTGTGTACCTAATAAAGAATACAGAAAATTGGAAGGAATATTGCAAAATATATAAAACATAACAACAGACGTAGACACATGACATAACAATTGTTCATCCGACTGCACTAAGCAATAGAAGTTTTTGATTCTCAAGTTTAGCATACTAAAAACTCAATTAAAAACTCATTGTCATTTTTATACGTAGTTCCAGCTATCGCACATCGAAAATGCTTTAATAATATTCTACTGGACAAAGATACCAGGACAACTGGACAACTCTAGGCAACCATGGAGAATTTAAAAATGAGCCAACCTATAGTTTATTATTTATACACAGTATACGCAATTCGACCCACCTTGCATTTTCAGTACCAAATCAGCTAACAATATTTGATTCATCAAATACTATTATACAAATTTGAAACTAGTATAGTCTTTTTCGAAGATGGAATAAAATGACATTGCAATGCAAAAGTGTTACCCGCTTGCACGCAGTTAGCGATTGCATTCGATAAATATTCTGTCGACTATCGACAGAATGTTGGCCACGCAAATGAAATAAATAGCCAAACTCATTGGAGTGTCATCTCTCTGTCATCATCGGTCCATTATTCGTCAACTGCTGGGCACAGATTCATTTGACTTGTCAATTTTTGTAAGTGCATACATACATAGACTGCATTTAGAACTACGTCTATTAAAAATACAAAGAGGAGACATTTTACTGTTCTTATTGAAATGTATATGAATAAAAAATCCGATTTCGATACTAGAAGGCCAACTGTCATAATGTGAATGAAGAAAGATCATTATAATGCCGTAGCAAACTTTTGCCTTCTTTCACAATCTATCGATAAAACTGTCGGACAACAACTGCACGACTCTTTAAAATTTTATTAAAACTGGTATCCCTGCAAATGTCAATTTATTCCGTCTTCAAAAAAGATAGAGAGGATAGACTATAAACGACATTACGTCGTTCCCATAAGTCCTTGTTCAATATTTGAATTCGTAAAACAGGAGAAATCATTTTCTTTGATGATAACAGTATTTCATTAAATACTGTTGTGTCCGGGGGTGTATTAATTAATCTTACACAAAAAGTTTATTCTACTTACATGCTACTTACCAACAGCTTTCATTATACGACTTTAGAAAATGTGCGTATATTTTATTTCTTTTCTGAATCAACTAATGACAATTTCCTAATAAATAAAAAATTATATGTAATACATTTCCTAAAGTTGAATTCGTGTAAAGTATGAACTCCTAAACATTTCTATTGATATTTTTATAACATTTTAATTTTAATATTTGAAAGTATACTAGTCTCTTGATTTTCATCTCATACTTCCGTTACAAAATATACTAACGAGCGTTCGTTAGTATATTTGCGGGAAAAACGAAAAATGAGCAGTCATTTATAAAGCGCATATTAAAGCAAAAATAAATGTTCATAGTATAATATGAATTCGCTCGATTACGCCATTAGAGTATTATGTCATGTAAGAATTCCCACTAGATAGCGTTCCAGTAGCACAGTCCAGTTAAAAGGCATAGCAAAAATTTGTCAATTTTGAGAAATGGAACTTAATAATTACTTGTTATAATTTTAAAAACAATATTACTTAAATATCACACTTGTTTCCGAAATACTAGCATCCCATGTTCTTCCCGCAACCTTAAGGCGTAGATATACTAGTCATCAACAATCTTACCTCGAGTTCTTCGATGACCTTCTCGAACTGATCTTCTGTGACAGGCGACGCGCCGGCGCGCGCACGTTCGGCGTTGAGCAGACGCAGCCAGGCCGTGTCTGTGGCGTCCATGTCGTAGCTGCACGAGGCCTCGGCGCGTGCCGGGGTCGAGCTGACCACATGTTTGTCCGGTTGGTAATGCGCATCGCGGGCCAAGTGTATATATTTGTCCCTTGGCCTGTGAAAGAAATGTAAAGGTCACATATCACAAACATCACTATCACTTTTTATTTTTATGGCTCCATCATTATGAGAAATGATGATTTTGCCAATGTCACGGTTGAAAGAAAAAAAACGAAACAAAAAAAAAATTTGCTAAGCTCTAATAGGACATTAACCGGTGTTGGTAAGTTGGACCACGGGTATCACAAACATGTATACATCTTGTAAGATGTGGTATGAGAACTGTCATAAAATGGCGAATGTGACCGATCAATATCTCAACTGACGTACGACTATCGACAAGGTGACGATGGCAACCGAAAATAAATGGGCTAGTACAACATTGAAAGAGTCTCTATATTACAGGACTTTCCACTATTAAAAGTAATACTAAATTCTAATTTTATTCTAAAAGTACCTTTCTATAATAATAAGACAATTTTGTGCCGTTAAGATTTTCTTGAACTAGAACTTTTCTGTACTGTAAGGAACTTTCCTATGCTGTAAGAACTTTCCAGTACTATAAGAATTTTCCTATACTAGAAGGACTTTCCTGTACTATAAGAACTGTCCTATATTAAAAGGGCTTACCTGTACTATAAAAACTTTACTACACTAAAACGACTTAGCTGTACTATAAAAATATTCCCATAGTAAAAGGACTTTCCTATACTACAAAGATTAGAGTAACGAAACTAAAACAAAGTACACCCAAAAAATATCCACTACATTCTGTTTGTAGAATAAAGAACACGTTTGCTAAATTGTGTTAACCAGTAATGTAATATAGAACTTCTTTACCCGTCATCTTCTACATTTTAATAAGAGTGACAGGGCTAGCACAACAGAGCGCTGTGCATTTATTTCTAATTCAAAACATTTCGTTGAACTGAAAAGCCTTATAAGTTACTTTCAAAAGAAAAAAGAAACTATTGCAAAAGCAACGAGGAAACTTGAAATTTATTTCAAAGGCTTCGCATGCCATTGCCCCACGCAGAATTTTTACAGTGCACACGAACAAAATAAGAAAAAATACTCAGAAAATTCATTTAAAAACGGGTGAAATTTCGTCGCAGTCCAGAGACTGGACTAAAGCAAAGGAAAAAGCTTTGCAAAAATTAGCAGCAACAAATATAAATGGTGAACGAAATGAAATTTTATTACAATACACACAATAAAAAGTACTAATACAGAATAGAATACAAAGAAGAAATGCTAATATTGAAAAGCTTGTTGTGTGTGCATCCCGTTGAAAACAAATCTCCTGTTTTCGCAGGAGATTGCTATTATTCACATGTATGCTCCAATCAAAGCAAAATACGCTTTGCTTTTGCTTGGTAAATTCCACGTAAGAGGGGTACATATATCCTGTTTCCGTTTAACTTTTAGATTTACAGTCGTACAATAGGTGACCGTACTCAGCAGCGGCACACGTACATATAGCGTAGTACAACCAAACACGATAAACGTATATAAGTCGGTTACCAAAAGTGAACAAATTTAAAAAATATTGTAAAGAAAAATTCCGCACGTTAAAATTGAAACACTGCCAGAAATTACAAAATTTACAATGATTACAATAAATATAAAACTTATAATATGTACAATAGACATAAGTACTTACAATTTGAATGATTGAAAGTCAGGCGGTAGCGGATTGTCAATGATCTTGACTTTAGGAGCGGGCAGAGAGTCTGGATTCACGGGCACCTGGACTCCCCGCTCCCAATCCTGCTTCCATGTGTCCGTAATGATCCAATAGTCGCCTGAAGCCAGCGGCTCGGAATCCGGTAGCTTCATAGCACTGATTAGATCTTTCCTGCAAGCAAATCGCGGAAAACTGTTAACACTCGATCCCGAAAAATCACAAATCAACTTTCTACACCTAACACAATTCATTATAGTACCACACTAGTAGTTATTTGCAAAGAAAAATAATTTCGCGCCGTGAATAAATTTACGAAACGTACAAAAATTTATTTCGAGTTTCGCCGTCACTATTTTCAATATACCGAGAAAAATTATTAGAAATGCTAGTGACCTATCCCTACTACATTCGCGTGCGGAAATCCCTCCCCAAGGCGTCCTCAAAGACCAGTTAAAAGAAAAGCGGCGCCCTGCACGGTGCATCCTGCGCCGTGTCAGAGAGCAGACTGAAATTCAAAACTAAGTAATATTACGATGAAAAATGTTTCACAATTTCCGATGTTTTCCGCGATATAAAAGGTTTCAGTTCGGGAAACGAGAATTGTAAAGGGTTGTCGATTGCATAGATATGAATTAGTTAGATTAGTTTTGGTATTTTTGCTTTTTAAAGATGTTGGTTCATTTTGGGTAGAAATTTTAGGTCTTTTTTAAGATTCGACGTGTTATCTGATTTTATAAAATATATATTTATGAATGGGAAATGACAGGCTGCGTTTGTTTTAAACGCTCTAATTTAGAAGCCAATAAACCAATACTTTTTTAGATATATGGCTGCAATTTTAAAAATTGTAACTATTGATTTTATTAAATTCAATGGCATTGTAGAAAACGAATGATGTAAATGAAACATGTACATATCCGTTCTGTCTTTTTCACTGTCTGTAAACAAATGAATGTTTTTTTTTAATATATTTGATAGGATATTATATTACATTAGATTTTTTTAAATTTCTCCATTTAGATTTTCATGATTAGACATTATAACTGTTTGAAAAATTAGTACGAATTAATTGGCAACACAAGTGACATTTATGTACATACTCTATAAAGTATGTCAACTATGTTCTCGTTGGAGGCTCACGTCAACTTTGATTTTATCATAATAACGTCGTAGTTGTCGGATCGTATAGTTATTATTTTGGTTGTCTTTTTTGTAATATCTCCGGTTTTTAATTATCATTTCTCTAATGTTGTAAATGCGCCTTTTATATTCTTTAAACTCGAGTAAGTCTTTTAAAGACATCTAATTTGTTGTTTATTATGACCAATATTTTTTTCATTATTGTATCGTGTTTTCTTTTCGCAATAAACCTGTACAAAGACAGCCGTGACGGCGATATTCGATTGTTTTTTCAATAATAAGTGCCAACACAACAAAGAACACAAGTATTTTTGAATACGACGAAATTATTTTACCAAACGCTATTTTGTCCATACACCAATTAAGTTAATTAAATATTTCTACATAATTTAACACTGATAATGAACTATTTTACAACATCCCTTGGTACTTCTTTATATTATACAACTAATAAAGTATACATATAGTACGTGAGCAGTATGACGTTTTTATGCAAAAAAAAACGGTTTCTTCTACTTGACCTAGCATCAAGAGGCTCATGTAAAGATGGGAGACACGGTGTGAGTAGATATCGTTTTATAATAATAATATAATAAATCATCTCTTCTGTGGCGAATAATAAAATTGTTACGGCAAATTGTATAGCATCCCTAGCAGTGGCAAAAAGAACTAGAAACACATCTCTAACAATGGCAAGAAGAACTAAAAATATTTTTCTCGGTCAGTAGTGACATATTAATTTTAAAAGAGACACAGATGCGTTTACTTCTATTTTATCATTTACTACAGAAGTGAGGAGCTCAATATCACCCAGCTTCCCAGTAAAGGCACATTTCTTCTGATATTAAAAACATACGCTATTGGCCCGTTTCTGCCCTAGACGATAACAAATAAAAGCATAAGAGAACCAACGCAAATAACATATCCTAATGACATGTAACCATGGCTTCATTTTTGACATTACCAAAGATAAACGTCAAAATACACAAAGTTTAACTAACTGAATTATGAGTACAGGAGTCTTACCATGAACTCTTATTACAGTTCAATATAGGTTCGTAACGACAAAAAAGCGGGATGGTGATATACATTTCATGTAGCACTGTCTCACAATGATTCATTTTAGGTCCTAAACTGAATCGTAATAAGAGTTCATGGTAAGGCACCCATAAAGGCGCTTTTTAGCATGTACATCAACAATTTGGGTCGTACGACACCAGGATGTGACATTAAAATTATTTCTAGTCCATTTGTTTCTTAGATTTATATGGAAAATTGAATCTTGTGCAGTGCTAAATGAAGTACAAAATAGTGAAACTTAAAAAAAATTAAAGAGAGTGATTTGTAACCTGTATCACAACTTAAATAATAAACATTACTCTATAAACTTTAACCTATAAGATTTGGATACATACATGCATACACACATATAAACACTAACAATTTTCTTTTTTTCTTATTATAAAAGGACACAATACAAAAGATTGTGTTAATTTTGGCTAGCTACAACTATTAGATTAGGATTATACTGCTTTTTTCAATAATTACTACGTTTTGGAGTGAAATAGGTTGCTATGGTAAAAAGAGATCAGAGACCTAAAATATTTTCGTACTTGCATATTTTTAAACAACTTAAAACATATTTTACAGGTCAATCAGTTACACTATTACGTTAATGCCACCATAAGACGCCAAGTGCTATACATATTACATAGCGTTACACATTACATAGTGTTACACATTACAATAAGAAATTGGTCCAAGGGACTATCAAAGTGGCAAACTTTCATTGACGCCAGTGGTCTATGTCTGGACGTAGTTAATGTAACTGTGTATGTAGACACATTTGATAGTTACTATTGTAATTTATTTAACATTGTTAACAAATACAAATGTCCGATTGGTGGAAAAAATGCGCCATAATGAAATTTACAATACCTGCTAAAACTGTCAATAAATTGCTTAAATCCTTAAGTAGTTGTTGTGGCTACTTTAGACAGTCATTTAAAAACATCCTGATAGGAAGCCTATGTCAATTACAAATTCTCTGATTGGTCTATAGTCTGCAACAGTAATTCACTTTTTATTTGCATTACACACTTCATATCTACATCATTCAAAACATTTTCTTTTTGTTTTCCATGTACATTAATTATTTTTTCTAATAAGTTTTCATATTTTCGTTAATACAGGTTATAAAATGGGACCTACGATTGGTGACGAGAAGCTATAACAAATGAAAGAATTTTAATGTCTGGACTGTCAAATCAGGTGAAATCAGGTAAATGGTTAAGGGTCAAACCGCGTCTGGATTGTACACCCTGGGGTATATAAGCAAGAGAAGCATGAATAATAATAATAACGCACACACTCAACATATCCCCGCACTAGGGAAACCCTGTGTCGCGGGGGCCATGGACACACACATAGACAACCACAAACTCACGAGAGAAATAATTGTAGACCATACAAATATTTCTCCCGGCCCGGGAATCGGACCTGGGACCTCTGCGTGGCAGTCTGGCATGGTAACCGTTCGGCCACTGAGGCAGTTTATAATAATGTAGAATGAGTGCTGTAGAAAATGAGAGTGTTGCGCAAAGTATATGGTATATAAATCTTTTAGGGACAGAATAAGGAACAGTGTAATAAGGGAGGTATGATCACATAGAAAGGATGGATATTAGTAGAATAATGACACAAATTTGTAGAGCAATCGTGAAGGGAAACATGGTGAAAGTTCGACCTCGAGCTACATATTGCAACCAGAATGAAAATTTCCTTAGATTAGACCAGGTACAGAGCACCAAGAATAATAGATTAGAGTGAAACTAGTGATATGAGCAGAGAAAGCAAAGAGATATGTTAGGAGCGTAGCGGGTGATGGTCCGTAATCTCTGCCTACCCCCGTGTAAGATATGCGTAATGGTGTGTATGTATGTATGTAAGTTCTTAGTCTAAGACAGATGTCATACAGTAACCTGATGATGACTGTATATATCTAAATAATACAAAATAATACAATATAACAATCACTCTCGCATTGGCAACATTGTAATGAATCAAGAAAAATGTTAAGAATCATTCTTTAAACATCCTCATTGCTAAAAACTGTAATTAAGGGCAAATATGAATATACACTTGTATTACATAGAAAATTTCAGGACAATATTGGCAAAATACCTCAATTAGAGCACTCATTTCCATTATTCCATCAAACAATGTCACTAGAAAATATTCATGTAGTAGTAGTGAGTGATAATGGCAGTTGGGTCTAGCCAAATAGTTACAAATTACTGTAATGACTTAATATAAAAATAACCAACAATAACATGATAATAAATTAACTAAAAATAAATACAAATGCACAGCATTGGTAGAAAGTTTAACTCATTAATTTTTCTCACTAATTTAAACTTTTTACTATTTATTGAGTAATGCTTAAAGTGAAAACTAGTAATCACATAATATAATCTATTTGTTTGTCAATGTGTATACAACAAAAATTGTATACAAAGCCCACCAATAGGGCTCCAAATAGTACCCAAGAAAGTACAGATGTGCAGATAAGAATTCATTTTGTATGTTACATTTAATCTTGATCTCTTAATTAAAGGTACAGAACTAAAGTAGCAACAATTATAAAGAATGTTGCTGAAGATACTACAACGCATTAGTACTAGCTGGGTAATTTTCAGATTAGTTTACCTAATTTTGGTGCAATTTTTTATTATTTAAATATTCTAGACTATCACGAAATATTACTAATTTTTGAGTGTAGTATCAGGATACTAGTATTCGAGTATATTGTAGTGAAAAATTAATCATATTTCAGGAAATATAATTAATAATTCACTATAGTATACTCAAATACTTAAATAATAAAATATGCCACCAAAATTAGGTAGAGAAATCTTACCTGAAAATTACCCAGATAATATAAACCAGAATAACTTGTAGCACAGCTGATAACAATTTCCAACTGAAGTACATTATTAATCTGTATTTGAACATAATTATTCTCATAAATTAATTTATTGTCAAACTTACAAACATAGATTATTTTAAAGTTTGTTTCAAATAAAAAAAAATGTCTTTCTCCACAAATGTAAACTTCATTACAAAAGTAAAACTAAATTAACGCAATAAAGTTCAATTTCAAGACTCATACAGTGATGCTTTAACAATGTTTTAAATTTTTAGGGCACTGCCTGTACATGAATTGAGTTCATATACAAACAATACCTGTGGTTCTACAAAACATTTCATTAAACACTGTAATGGAGTGTTTTATTTTAATTAGTTATATTTTGTCATTATTAGTTTATTCATAGATTAAACTACTGTTAAATTCAAGACATTTCTATTAAAATCAATAATAAGCATGTTAATTCTAGAAACAGTCTTGTAGTTACCACAATTCTATATTAATAAAAATCACACTTAGCAAATAAATGTACGCAGTTGCTTTGTGCACAATTCGCTTAAGCATCGGTGACTTTTTTAACCACTTTGACATTTATCTAGTCCTTCCAGTGTAGTACTTAAGTCCAATAAATTTTCATGAGAAATTATCAAACCATCTTTTAGTGACTTAATATTTTGGTGTAACATTAAAATTTTGGTGCAACAAAAAAAAACTATTTTTCATATATCTGAAATCATAAGCAGCGCATTTCATTACTAGTTTTGAAATTGCTTCTAGTCTTTATTACAATTGGATTAAGAAGGCTTATTTTCCAAATATTATAAACATTTTCACACATACCATCCCACCTTAGTAACTACAACTTAATCTTACAAATACATTCGCATCAGCAGTCGTTTACAAGTATGTACAAGAGTATATGCAAGGCTTAGTAGCCAGTAATAACAACAACTGCAACTTTCACTAGCCTTATGACAATATTCATCAATACAAAACTCATAATATAATAAAAGTTTATAAATAAGTAAATTAAATTAACGCAGACTAAAAATGGAACACACAAACCTGAATAGTTCTGCTGGTGCCTCTGAGGCACTTCTATTATAAATAGATGACATCTTGAGGTCACTGACTGGGCGGAGCTGCCACAGTGCGTCCTCGGGCTCCGTCCTGCGGCGCTTGGAAGCGCCTGCCTCCTCCCCACGCACTGCGGCTCCCCTCTTGGTGCCTTTCAATGACATCTTGAGTTATATATATCACAACCTACATGTTCACCAGCCCCCTACTGCTTTACACTTGGAACGTGGTAACAACATTGTGTAGAATGTCACATCGTTCACTACATGATGGCACTTCAATTTGCAACAACATGACTGTGGTTGGTGCAGCCTGCAACAACAAACATACCATTAATTCATCTCCTCTTAACTCCTCAGCATATCTTATTTTTGAATGCAATGCCCCTGAAATAAGGCATAGTTTTCAAAACACTGACAGGTGACAGTTAAAAGTGTAGTAGTGCACAAATTGCACAATAAATCAATGCACAAGACAACACAACACTGCTCAAATACAGAAATAAACACACAACATAAACATAGTTACGTTTTAACATCCAAAATACGGATTTGTGAAGGAAATTTTCATTCAAAATCCACATTTGGCGCAACGAACATTACTGGCAATTTAGAATACAGATTCATGTACAGATGAGCATTAATTTCAGTCAAAGGTAATTTTAACTCACTATAACCGAGACGCGTACGTAACATAATTAGGAATAGGGTCTTTTTGATCAAATTGGTGAAATTGAGCATCAATTCAGTTTGACGTTTCACATAATGCACGGGCAAAAATGTATGGCGGGTCCGAGGTCGACAGCGCAGCCTATAAACAGCGGCGGCTGATCCGCGCGGCGCCTGTCGTACAACCCTCGCCATGCACATTCAACACTCACTTATCTCTAAAGAGCCTTTATTAATTCCATCCCATAAGGTACTAGCTTTAACCGTAAATATTTATCTCAAGGGGTAGTCTCCATTACTACATAACAAAATTGACAACATAGATAGCAGCACTGTTTTGTTGCCAGATTGACATGAGTCCTACGCATCATACCTTCGTCTTTTCTGTTTAACACTATTGATGTATAGTTATTACTTGATTCTATATCTCTATTTAATGCGAAATCATGCTAAAATACCTCATATTTCACATACATTTTCTGTAGCAGTCGTTTGGCGCCATTGATCGGATAATCCTTTAGGTCACGTGACTATATACGAATCACCAACGCAAGCCAAGTAAAATGGCCAAAACGCACATCGAGTTCATCTAATGTCATTGGTTTCGAGAGGAACTTGCCGCATAACACATACATTGAGACAAGATTTTTAAGGTGTTACAGCCGAAAACAAACCCCGCACAAACACATTTCCAATTAACATCGGGTTTGTCAGCAAATTTCACAAATTATTGAGAAATATTACAACATGAATTTAGAGCGAGATATATCAATAAGAAGTTACGGATATCCACCGCTAGTAGGCGCTTTGGAAAAAAAAATATAATGTTGCCATATAAATATTGTAATGAAAAGACACCACCCACGGAATTTTCGAGGAATAAATAAAATATCGATCCAGGGATGTAGTACGCACTATAAAAGATCATTGAGTACGTACTTTCAAATATATATAGATGGATTCTAAAGCTTTGAAGAAATACCTAATGATGATAAATTGATATATGACTGTAATATACATTTTTGAGCAATGGTGTCTGTACCTGTTTCACATTTTATCAATATAAAATTATAGGCTATATTGTTGTAGCCCGTCACAGTTTTCAACACTGGTTTCAACTGATTTGCAAAGTTTATTCTAGTTTTAAGAAAACATTACGGCCTTGACGACAACAAACTAGAACTTTCATAAATATATTATTGTATGGGTATAAAAATGAAACACAACATAAAAAATAAGTATAGTTATATTATAATTAATACAGGCTGCCCTAATATACTTTTGTTAGAAAAATTAATGACATATCGTCACTACGTAGATGAATAATAATTAATTGATCATATTGATCGAATAAAAATATGCTAACAATTGACGCTCAAAAATATTTTAATAAATTTTTATATGGGAAAGTCAGTTTTCGAAATTTAATGAGCGCCATGTACCAAGCACGGTGCGAAAAACAATTTGTAATTGTGAAAATTATTAAAACAAGCTGTCCTGTTTCCCCATAATCCAACTAATGTGTACAAGCAAGACCGGAAGCTTTTCTCAGTCACACTTCGTAATGACGTTGCCGCTGCATTGTGTTTAAAGATTCTTCAACTCACACAAACGTATACATGCTTGTTAAATACTCCTTCACGTAAGGTTAGAAGTATTTAGACAATTGCGTAGTGCGTAGCCGTAACCAGCGTCATTGCTTGAAGCAATGACACATTAAGATTGACCCTTAGTAATTTTGGGCCGCTCATTACGCAAGTGGCATAAAGTTAAGTAAAAATCTAAAATCCACCTTGACGTGACCCTGTACTTAAAACAACAAGAAATATATTATTGAAAAGACACAACATTTCACAATAAAAAATGCTGTTCAATAAGTCCAATTATACTACATACTGTACTCATTATTCTTAAACATTTCATTTTTTATCGAGTTCTTAGGTTTTCGCGATTGTTACACGATTTGTCATTTTCAAAGAAACCGACGTTTCGGGCCCTTTACAGGTCCCATGGTCACGGTTAACTGACTGATGGGACCTGTAAAGGGCCCGAAACGTCGGTTTGTTTGAAAAAACAAATATACGCGATTTAAATCCGGAAAAATAGTTTCATTTCCTTTTTCATTTTTTAGTTAGTATGACCGCTAAATATACAGTATACAGTTAAGTGACAGCTAAGTAGTGAATTTTTATAAAATCAATATTCAACATCCGTTAAGGATGGGAAATAATTTAAATTGAAAGACAGAGCTGTACCTACACAACACAGAAATCTAAATAATCTTTACGGTACGGAATTAACTAACGTTGATGCGGTGCGATTACTTTAAATTAAGGTACCTTATTTTATTACTCATTTAATAATTTGTTTGTCACATTCATATCGAACTTATTGTTATAAGTATAGATTAAATTTGAGACTTATGAAATACTTAAAGGCGCATTAAAAAAACACAAGACTAGTTTTACACGAGTTCTCACAACTTAATACGGTGAATAAGTCGCGAAGCGTAGCTTAATTTTTTAACTTGAATGCTTTCAACCACACACCCCACTCCACCCACTTCTACCATTCCAAACTCGAAAAGAAGTCTGCTTGTGCACAACCAAGGGCACATTGGATTTTGGACCGTCCTTATCTTAAACAACGTAAAGTTGAATTTAAATCTTAAGTGTCAAACTTGACGTGCTCTTGTCCTTTCATGGCACAGTAATTATAATACCAATTAATATAATAATTAATAATATTAATAATTAAGTTTGTTAAAATAACAAAACTTATAGTCTGTTGCAGTCCATTGAACAAGAAAAGTAAACATTTCTTAAATATTTCATAACCATCATAAATACGTAAACGTGTGTTTTATTTTTATAACAATAATAAATTTACAGGAGTCACATTGGAATTAATATATTCTTATTTGCTGGTATTATTGTATCCTTTTGTAATGTAACATAATAAATGTATAAACAAACCTGCATTAAAAAAAAACTGTTAGTTTTTTTACTACGTAATATATTTTAACTAAGTAATATATTTCAATAAACAAGTCTTTATAAATAATGTGTCTTTTTTGGTCATTTAGAAAGCAGAGGATCTTACCAAATAGCCACCAGAGTCGCACATCAACTAGGTACTCATAAATCTGTTTTTAATCAAAATAGGAACTTATTTCTAAAAGTAAAATCACAAATGATGCAGGGAGTTTAATGTAACTAAGACCATGCCACTTGTTTTTTTGACAATTCCTCCTATGACCACAACGCGTGACGCCATGTTAACTTATTGTAAATAAAAAATCAAATCGTACATTAATTCATACAATAAATGCAAAACATAATAATTGAAGTTAAAGTAACAACGATGCTTTTTGGGCTGAGTTGTCCAACTAATTGAGCTGTGCGTGGATAGCTTTATTTACTGAACGAGAAAATATGTTGCCATGTGATATTAAGTTTTCAGCCCAGAGACGTAGTCAGTATTAGAATTTGATAACGGTGTAGAATAGATAATAAATTATTTATTCATGGAACAAAGCTTATTTTATTACTAATTGATAAATGAGTTTTTATTGTTACAATGACAACAATACTGTTTATGTTGGCAACAGACAAACTACTTATGCGTATTTGATATCGTCATCACCGAATTGACTCAAGCTTTAATATGCACTCGTGTATGTAAATCATCTCCATATAAAATGCATAAAATGCAATGCGCAAAATCTTTGCGCCTCCAAATTCACGCCATCACATGTCTCACCAACACACGACACGAAAACATATTTTGTATGTATACAGATAATACACAAGTGCAGTCAAGAGCACTGTCTTATCGGAAGCGGCAAGAGTTGGATTTAAGTCTTAAGTGTCAAGCATGATGTGCTTTTGACCCTGTACTAACGTCAAGAAACAGTTGATGGTAACAATGCAGTAGTTGTATTTCATAATGTAATAAATAACATAAATTGATGTGATACACAAAAGAAAAAATTGAATAAAAACAAGTAAGCAGCGATAAAAATGTCAAACAATCCAAGACACTGTTTTGTACACACTGAATTTAATATTGCTGCAATTTGTCAAGTAAGACAAAGATATTGTATTAAAAAATTGTTTAATATAGTTTACCTATTAGAGATACTATTTATTGTAGCAAATAATCAGCACCATAATAACCTCAAATATAGTTAGATACCTTTTTTTAAATGATTACAAATGGCAACTTTATCCAATCAACGTAAGTGCTATAATTCTGTTTTCCTGAAGTTGTCTGTTGTATAGGTAATATGATTCATATTATATTCTCAAAAGTTTATTTATTATTACAATTCGTAACAGCAACAAAGTACGTAATTAATAGGTAAAGTTGTATACTTATCATGTTAAAGTAAATATTAATTATATACTAGACTGACTACGTATCTGCAATATTCTCAAAGAGATAAAGAATGCTATAGAGCCAAAGTACGAAAGAGAAAGATAGTTTTACCTCACGTTCACTTGAAAAAATCGTCCCAATTCAACGGCACCGATCGACGCAGCTGAATGAGTAATTCAAAATTCGAATCGAATGGGAATGATTTATGTGATTCATACTGTTAGTTTTAAGGATGGTGAACAGATATATTTTGACAAAGAATTGGAGAAAATTAGCAAAATGAAAACCAAACACTTCCTTTAGCGACACACGCGTTGTGCTAAATGTTAAGACACTTTCTTTGACCTCGATTCCACCGCTCGATGTACATTAAACCGAATAATGTAAATTAGATTTATATCTTTCATTCCGTACTAAATACTTACTTATTTCACGCAGATGATTCTATTGAACTCCAAGAAATATAGGTTCGATGTATATCAGCAATAAACACACCAAGCTATAGGCCAGCTATTGGTACATACAAACTAACACTTTCATAAAATTAGTAATTATTTACATAGGTAGGTAAATAACGTAGGTAATTGTACAATTTTCAACAAATAATTTCGAAGTTTGTACAACTGAAGCTGGTGGCTACAATATAGGATTCTGTTTACGTCTCCGTTAATAAATTCCGACCTAGGTTTATGTTGTTTGTAATGATCTATAATGTTAGATACATCCAT